GTACTGTACATCCATTATTATATCATCATGTACATGTTGTTTCGGCAATTACAATGAAAGATATTGACTTTTTTTGTCAGATAAACAAAATGCATTTAAAAGGACATCAATAAAACCCACTAGGCATAGTTCACATATGGCATTTAAATCTGCCTTTTAAAGGTTAAGGTAGAGTATGTCACAACTCAAGTGAAGATCAATTGAGGCAAAAGATAGGAATAAGGAATACCATTGGACATTCATTCTCAAACAAAAATAACTTGGGAATTATAACTAATTCTGGTTTTCTTATTATATTAGTATTGATAAAATGGACCAGGTGAGGCAAAAGTCAGTGATTCCAATTCACATTATGTGGGTTATCCATGTGTATCAGTGTATAGGAAACCACTGTAAAATTATTAAAACAGCATTTACTGCAACAAAAAAAAAGTAGTTGGCAATAAAATGGTGCACCACCACATTATCATCAGTCTAAAATCAATTTCTCAAACCTTTGAAGGCAGGTGGATTGAAAGGCACGGGTCAGTTGAATGAGCTTCATCACCTAATCTAACTCCAATGGATTTTTCTATTCTGGGAAATCATTAAAGAGAGGGTTTTTGCAAGGAAGCCATGTGTTTAATGAGTTTAAAGGGTACATCATCAATGAGTTTGAAATCCTGGATGATTTTTATGTAGGGAAAAATATTGCACTAACCCTGACCATCTTAACACTTTGGCTACTGAAAAGGATGAAGCGTCATTACGATAAATGCCCACACTTGCTCTCCTGTGTTCTTTTTAATTTTTCTCCTAATTTTTTTTTGCTTGATGTCAGACCTGTGTTAAAACTTCATCAGGTTCTGAATGGTAACGTCGTTATCTCACTTTACATCATATCATCTATATCTGACGATATTTTCATTTACATTTTTTTCTAACGGTTGTTTCCGTAATTTTTTATAACAGATCTGGACAATTTGAACATTTTTGCCTTGTATTTAATTATGCAATGCAAAATGTTTTAAAATTTTTATATAATCAAATATGGAGTTAGGTTTGAATTATGAACTATATATGGGAGCAACTAACTTTTTTCTCATCCTGTTTTGTCTAATAATTGATTTAAAGCCTACTTGGATGGGTATTGTCACTTTCATTGTTTGTCATTTGTCATTGCTTCAGCTACAAGTCAGAAATTGAACAACACTCTGATTGGAGTATCTGATTCGTATTCCTAGGTGTTTGCTCAGGTATGCCCTCGTAATCAGAAATGTCCTCGTATGAACAGAAATTTATGCAGAAATCCTTGATGTTGATGTGCTATATGGCTAGCCAACCCAGAGTGCTAGAGGTCAGCCACCTACAATGAATACACACTTGTTTTTGGACTCGCACAAGCAGTTCCTTAGCTTCTTGGCAACTTCTCGTCATGATCACTAAATCTCAACATGTCTTTTACATCAAATGTAGTTGCTTATTCAGTTGCACTGAATGCATATCATACCACACATTCACATGCAATGCAATACCATATTAGTCAGTGTCCTTGGTTGACAAGACATGAATCAAGTGCTGATCTACTCCATCCTTCCTGTTCAATGCCAAAGCCTGGTCCACTCCTATCTTGTGCCATTCCTGCAAAGTAATGTGATATTTCTAAATTTATGTTGGCTGTACAGATGATAATCCCGTGGGACCCTAGGGGATAATAAACTGAAAACCAACACAACATATAGTGCATCCTTGCAAGATAGTAGCAACTGAACATGCATTCATTCACCAAATAAAGAATGTAAGGAGGAGTCTCTTGGTTTACTTTCCATGAATCCATTAGCATCTAGGATAGTCACATTAAATTGCTGCAGGATTGACAGAATCATCCAGATTCTTTCAGAGGACAAATGCTGTCTTTTGCCCATGCAGACAATTTTCAAAGTTGAAGACTACTTATGGGGTGCCAGAACATCAAGAGGGATCCAGATATACTTCTGTGGTGTCTGTTCATACTGGACATCTGTCAAGACGCATGCTACAAGACACAAGCGTGTTCATACTCAAGAGAGGCCTTATCAGTGTATTGTTTGTCATAAGAGCTTCAGTCAGAGTAGCAGTTTGTATAGGCACATAAAAATTGCACATCCACTTAATTCCTGAATTGGAACACTTCCTCCCAATGTACTATTTCTTTCTTGCATATTCCAAAATACCAGAATATTTTTCCTTTCAGTGCCATATATTCAATAAAAGGTGGCTAGGAGAAAATACAGTGCTGTTTTCCAGAGTCATTTTAATGCCAACTTGATGATTCACTGGATTTTGTTGAGTACAACTTCTGATAGGAGAAACCTTAATTTTTTCCCCCACTGTAGGCAATCTACAAAGTTGAAGACTACATATGGAGTGCAGAGCCATCAGGAGGAATCCCAACCCCACTGTACTTCTGTGGTGCATGTTCATACATCACACATCTTAAGGGCAATGCAAGAATCCACAGACGTGTTCATACACTGGAAAGGCCTTATCAATGCACCCTGTGTCACAAGTATTTTACCCAAAGTAGCACTCTGTATCGACACATGAGGTTGTCTCATCAGATTGATTCCTGAAGCAGGAAAGCATACACAAAAGAGGCTATTCTATTGCATTGTTTCTCACACTTCTAACTGGTGCAGTCCACTGCACTGATCAATGTTTTCATTTACTAGGCAAGACAGGACAACTGTCATACACAGTGTGTATTTCATGTCATGCAAGTCTGTCCTGAAATTCAGGCAAGCTAATGCCTGTGGGGAAAGGGGGAATTACCTTGAAATAGATTTGCATAGCCTTGCTACTCTGAGATTCAATTCATTTGAAAGAGGTGAAATGAATTGATATTTCAACAACTACAAGTGCCATGAGGGTCAGAAGTTCTTCCAATGACAAGTGCTGTGAAGACGAATGCATTTTTCCCCACTACAGGCGATGACCAAAGTGGAAGACTTCGTTTGGAGTGCAAGGACATCAGGAGGGCTTCAGGTATACTTCTGCAGTGTCTGTCCATACAGGACAGCCCTCAAGGGCAATGCAAGGATCCATAAGCGTGTTCATACCCAAGAGAGACCGTTTCAGTGTTTTGTTTGCCAGAAGTCCTTCACCCAAAGTAGCAACCTCTACAGACACCTGAAGTTCTCCCACCAAGTGCAAATGTGAACTAGTGCTATGTTCCTGACAGCATCCTTTTTATCTGTATTTCCCCTAGTTTTGCCTCTGTCCAAATGGTCATGTTGTATGTCAAGTAAAGGTTCTCAAAAGTTTCACTTATGGTTTGTGAGTCATCAATGTAATTGTGGATGGTATAGGAGTAGGACTGGCTGCATCGGGTGGGACCAGTAGATATGAGTCCACACAGAATGATGCTACAATTCACATCCCTGCTGATGATACCCCTCTTTTCCATGGCAACAGGCAATGTCCAAACTGGAAGACTACATTTGGCATGGCAGGACCACAGGAGGGTTACAGGTGTACTTCTGTGCAGTCTGCCCCTACCGTACAAACCTCAAAGGCAATGCAAGAATTCACCGACGTGTCCATACCCGAGAAAGACCATTCCAATGCACCTTTTGCCGCAAGAGCTTCACTGTCAGCAGCAACCTTTATAGGCATATGAATACTTCACATCATTATATGTGATCCAAAGTTACATGGTTGAATTTTCTTCTTTGCATTGTTTTCCATTTGATTTTTGCAAAATAGCCTGTTTATATATTGTATGTGTAGAATAAACTTCATGGCAGAGTTTTTTTTTTTATTTTGGACTTTAATTTTCTTATATGTAACTTGCACGATCTGATAGTCATGGGAATGGGATGCTAAGTATGTCAAGTGCTTAAATGGGCTTGATAAATAGCTTCACAAGTTTTATCCTAATCTTGAGTGATAGTTGATCTTGTTTGTGAGAAGGCAAATCCCTGTGTTCTATCACTGCAGGTAATGTTCAAAGTAGAAGACTACATATGGGGTGCAAGAACTCCAGGAGGGATCCAGATGTACATCTGTGCTCTCTGTCCATACACTACCTATCTCAAGGCACATGCACGAATCCACAGGCGTGTCCATACGCAAGAAAAGCCCTATCAGTGCAAGACATGCCACAAGAGCTTCAGCCAGAGCAGCCATCTGTATCGACATATGAGGATGTCTCATCAGATTCAGCCATGATACTAGAAAACATTGGTGACCTAAATAGTTTTAGGTCATTTCTCCTTGTTTTCTTATTAACAGTTTCATCTGGTATGAAAATAGGGAAACTAATTGTGTGGCTCATGAAAGTAAAACCATGACAGAACCAAACACTGCAGCTTCAATTCTGGGAACCTTCATCATGGAAAATGTAATGGGAAAAATTGGAGGATGAGTGTGGGCACAATGTGACAGTGGGATAGTTTGTTTCAACATGTTTAGCAGTTATAAATGATCAGTTGAATGCTCCTAGTAGAGCTCAGAATTCAGGAAATTCGTATTCTATGAAGTTTTATCATGAAAAATCCCTTCTTTCTCTCTAAAAAAAACTTGAAAGGAATAGTATTACCCTAAAACATGTGAGGAAGTAGTTCTCATAAGTCATTGCTTAAACCAGTCACCCAAAATGTGCTTTATGTGGTCATTAACCCTTTAACAGGGAAGCCCATCATATGTTGGGCAGATTCCTCTTGGATATATATAGGACACAGAAAATACTCCCCAATAAAAGTTGGCAAACTTTCTTGGCATTTACATGCCTCTATCATTGTCACATTATGCATAAAAAGTTATTCTGAAGTATTTGCCACTATAAGGTATGCCCCCCTCCCTTTTTTCCCCCTCCAGATCATGTATAGGTTCAATCAATTTCACTGAATAAGGATCTGAAAATGGCTCTGTGGGTTTTTCAAGGGGAGGATTCATGCTTAATTCATACTAACAAAATTCTGCATTTGCTGCTGAAGTTGATTAAACATATTCATTTTGAATGAAACTGAAATGGTCCTGTGTGACCATGTGTCTTACTATTCAATTTTGAAAGGTCATATTTAGAGCTATATTTTCAGTAAAAGAGGAAGTGGAAGAGGACAAATAGTTTGCATTTGTTAGGAAGGTCATTTTATTTCACAGTTTATCTCAAGAGCGTCAGCCAAATTGTAGACTAAGGACTAGAGAACTTCCATTAGGTCTTTACACAGACCAATACCTCAATCTTGTACAGAGTGCTCTCTTGACTAACTTTCTCCCAGTTTCTTTTATTCCTTGAGGAGCTCAATGGAATGAAAAGCCTTCATGAGATGCAGTGTCATTCGTAAAATGTTAAAATGTATATAACATTATACCTATTTGTACGATGCTTAGTGATTGCTCAGAAAATGAATATTCTGGTCACTATGTCTTATGTTATTCAGAGGGAGAGATGTTTGAAATGTAAGGACATCATGAGGACTACATCTTCACATTGTCAGTGTGAACCTTTATGAAGTTAGCCTCTCTGGCATTGCAGGACACCAAAAACATGTCAATACCTAAGAGAGGCTTTTTCAGTCCCCTCTTTGCCAGAGGAGATTCACCCATACAGGCAGCTTCTACAGTTACATGAATGTCTCTCATCTGGTTCATGTGTAGGCTAGTGCACTATAGTGTCCTTTTTTATTATTACTCAACTTAAGTTTTGTTCATTTGTGTTTTGTTGCTTGAATAAATTGAACTGAGATACAGATTTGGTTTTTTGTATCAATCAACCCGATCACTCTGGATTGTGTGGACACTGAGAATAATATTGGATAAAATGGGTGGGACTGTTGCTGTCATCCTTATGAACAATTCTGCAATGTGTGTTCATTCCAATGATTCCCCTCCTTTCCATGTCAACAGGGAATATTCAAAGTGGATGACCACATTTGGTGTGGCAAGACTTCAGGAGGGATCCAGTTGTACTTCTGTGCTATCTGCCCTTACAATACACACTACAAGGGCAATGCAAGAACCCACAAGCGTGTCCATACCAGAGAAAGGCCATTTCAATGCTCCCTTTGTGAGAAGAGCTTCACTGTCAAAAGCAACCTTTATAGGCACATGAACTCCTCACATGTGTGAAACAAGGCACGTAGTGCCCCATTTCTTCAATATAGTTTTGTTCTTCTGGTTTTTGCTCTTTTACCTCTGATTGAAGACAACATACTGGGTGAAAGTTCATCAGGAGAGGTCACCTATATTGAATGAACTTCAGAAGGAAGTTCTTCCCTAAGATGCAGTTCAGAACTCTGGTGTGCAAGTTTTGTGCTGATTGTTATCAGATGAACACAAATCAACTCAATCATATCACTGGGACATGATGGATTCAAATATTATTAGTATCAGTCTTGAGTGACTCCTAACTGCATATGGCAATGGAATTTACCATTCATGTCTTTCATGTGATTTGATAACTCTCCTGATTGAGAAATGAAAGGTGGTTCTGAGAATGCAAACCCCTGTGTTGTATCACTGCAGGCAATATTCAAAGTTGAAGACTACATATGGGGTGGAAGGACCTCAGGAGGGATCCAGGTGTACTTCTGTGGTGTATGTACCTACATGACACACAGCAAGGGGCATGCAAGAATCCACAGACGTGTCCACACACAAGAAAAGCCATATCAGTGCACAGTGTGCCACAAGCACTTTACCCAGAGCAGCACTCTGTATCGTCACTTGAGAGTGTTTCATCAGATCCATCAATGAAGCAAGAAGCCACTATGGCAATGTATGCCATTTCTCCTTTCCTTCTGTGTCCATTCTCTGAAGTGCTTTGAAATAGTTGTATCTAGAAATATGAAGAGTGACAGAAGGAGGATTCCCAATGAATGTCTTTCAAGGGGATACATGGTATGGTTTATTGAATTTATTTGAATGAAAATTGTCATTGTATCCAGATGAATCACAGTGAATTATACATATTCCGATTGAAGACAGCTCAGAGTTAGTCTATGAAGCATGCATTACATGATGCAAGCTTCAAGTATAGTTTGTTTAGTTATCACACTTAGTTTCCATTACATTGTAGGTTTTGATGAGATGAGAACTCATTTTTGTAATTTTCACCTCAATTTGCAGGGAAATGCTTGTCAAGACAATTGGCCTCTGGCTTATAGAAGACAGACTTCCTGATAGTCTCATGACCACAAGACTGTCTATATGAAGTTTTAATTATTAAATTATACATATTAATAGAGGATACTTTAGCTTCAACTTACTCCAGAAGTTATTTATTAATAGACCCTGTATTTCCTGATCAATAGTGTTCACTAGTATGAAAAACAAAAGATAAGTATCAAATAGATGGGGTTAGGTTAAGTCATGGTATCCTATCATTGTAATCATGGCCTGGGAATATTTTTTCATTGGTTTGTAATTGGACTTGAGAGAGTGTGGAAACTGTTCTTAAAAACCACAGAACTGTCTAGTGCTTTGTGAAGTTCCTGAGGTTTACCATCCCTTGCATTTATGTGGATAGTATAACAAGAGCCACTATACCCCCAGTATTAGGACCAGGAAGAACAATATAGCTGGTCAGACCCATGGAAAGAAAGGGATGAGTGGCCACAGACACATTACCTGAGTACATGTTAACCCCTTTACCAGGGTGACCTCCTTTTGACGTTGAAATTTCCACTCTAGTACTACACTCACCATCTTTAGGCATCCCTTCATTTAGTTGGTCTGCGAAATTCTGAGTGAATGCTTAAAGGCACACACATACTCTTCATGTTTAGAAATGTTCTACTAACAAGCATGTATGGCAGAAAAAAAAGCCTCTGGTATGTAGCAAAAACTCCCAAAAACTCCCAAAAACTCCCAATAGAGGGGCTAATGAGACTAAGAAATGACCAACTAATGCTAGGTTACTTGATTGATTTGTTGCACAGACCCATGTTAATAACATTTCTATTCAGTTAGCTCTCTGTGTGAATACCTGAAAGAGTACACACCATGTTGCAATGCTTGATATCAGCAGCTAGGCAAAAGGGGGTTCTTGATAGATAAATCTGTGTGTTTCATGAGCTACTTTGAACATGTATGAGGCAGAGTCTGGACTTGGCCCATCATAGCATGGTGTGTATTTTGTCATACCTGTTTGTCAAATTTAGAAATGCTCATGAAAAAAAAGGAAATCCTTTCATGATATCGCATTCCTCTTCTTAGAAACTGAAGGGTTGGGTTGATAGTTTAATTTTCTGAAGTGTTGTAACTCAACAGGTAAATACATATTTTACCACTACAGGCAATGATGAAACTGGAAGACTTCATTTGGAGTGCAAGGACACCAGGAGGGCTGCAATTGTACTTCTGCAGTGCGTGCCCTTACAAGACAGGGCTCAAGGGCCATGCCAGGACCCACAAACGTGTTCATACACGTGAGAGGCCTTTTCAGTGCTCCATTTGCCAGAGGGGCTTCACTCAGAGCAGCAACCTCTATAGACACATGAAGGTCTCCCACCATGTTTCATGTGTGAACAACTAGTGTCCTTGGGAGTATATGATCTTCCTCTGTTTTGCTTTTCATTTTCTCTCTGTATTCATTCATGTTGATTAAAGTTCTTCAAATGATACAAAGTGACATGGTTTTTCAATCTTGTGTGGATATTAGGAAAATACCACTGGAAGAGTAGGGTGGGATTAGTAGATGTCAGTTTGTAGAGTTACCTTACAAATCACATTCCTTCCAGCACTTATCCCATTTACCCTGTCTTTCTAAAAAAATTATGAAACCTTGTATGGGAACTAGGAAAACAGTGTTGGATTGGCATGCAGCCAGTTGATATCTGTCCTTGTATTACAGTTCCCATCCCTTCTCACAGTTATCCTCTTTTCCATGGCAATAGGTAATGTTCAAAGTGGAAGACTACATTTGGTGTGGCAAGTCTTTGGGAGGAGTCCAGCTCTACTTCTGTGCTATCTGTCCATATAGAACCCACTTCAGGGGCCATGCAAGAACTCACAAACGTGTCCATACTCGAGAAAGACCATTTGAATGCCCTGTTTGCCTGAGGAGTTTCACTGTCAAGAGTAACCTTCGAAGGCACATGAATGCTTCACATGTGTAAAACAAGTCTCATGGTGCTCTCTTTCTTCATTGTAGTCTTTTGCTTTATTTATACCATGAATAAATATGAATAAACTCCTCATGGAAATTCCTCTGAGTCTCACAGTTCAAAACCTTGTATGGTGACAACTCTGGTGTGACCACATAATGCACCCTAGAAATACTGCACAAAGAGCACAGATGACATAAATGTCCATTAATTCTTTTCATTCACCATGATGCAATGTTTCAGCTATGAGAATCCCTTGACATGTGTTAGGTGTTATGACACAGTCAGATGACATCCTTGATTCCCAGATATCACACTGTTTCACTTCAGCCTCTGGAGGTGCTGATATTGTTGTGTGTCTGCACATGCTGTAGAAGGTAGATGATGTGAAAGTGTTTATTCTGCACCCTTTGTGTACAGCTAACTGCTGACCCTCTATACAGAACAAGTTCAGTGGTCATCTTGGCTAGTACACTGGAGCATTGTGGATGGATAGCAATAAAAAATTTGACTGGCTGTAATATTGGTGCACCATTTCTGGGAGGCATAGTATAATGTGGTTGCAGGGGTGATTTGAATTGCACACTATCTGTTTGTTGATATGATGATGCCCACTTGTTGACTTAGAATAGCCAGCCAAAAACCAAACCTATTAATTCCCATAGAGGCATGTGCTCTGCTTTCTAGACTGTGTGCTCCACCTTCAGGAAGAATCTTTCCTGGAGACTCCAAGCAGGATCACGAGCAGAATTCCTTTCTGAGAAGGTGTTGAAAGTTTATTGATGCTTATCCATGAATTAGAACCAGGAGGTGACTTAACTAGGAAATAAACACAAAGGAAAGTGCATCATCTCCAACTAGCTTTTTTGTTGTTGAAAAAGCTGCATGAAGTTCCCAATTGAGATTGGACCAGAAGGAGGGAAGATAAGAAAGAGGAGAACCACTTCTTGAAGACAAATGCAAAGAAGTGCAAAATACTTATCAAAGAAAAGTTCAACCCGTCTGCACAGTTATGCGAGGAAATTTGTTTAACATGGGCATGGTGGTTTGCTGGGTTTCACTTGTTCAGAGAAGACAATTACAGCAGAGATAAGGACATTAAGCTTGCTGCTCAAAGTTTGAGGCTGCTGTGTTTATTTCATCATTATAAGATTTGGAGTATGTAATGAACAATATGGTGTCCTATATGTAGATCTGGAAACAGCAAATATCAGCTCTTTTGGTTGATCCCAGAAGTAAATATGATGTCTTTGGTGCTCTTACAGACAATGTGCTATGTCCAGAGCTATGTGTGGTGTGGGAGGACCCTCTTTGGTCAGAGAGTCTACTTTTGTCCCATCTGTCCATATGAAACTTCGAAGAAGTCCCATGCAGAATACCACAGTCGTAAGCACACCAAGGAGAAGCCCTTCCAGTGCCCCCTCTGCCCAAAGGCCTTCACACAAAAGTTCAATGTCAAGTCACATATTGCTTCAGTGCACTCCAAGAATCCCTCTCAATTTCACCTTGAAAATTGAGGAACTGTTGAGAATGCCTCCCTGCCTCCTTCATCATAGTTCTCTCATTTTCATGTTTCTCGATTGATCTGTACCATCTGTCCATGATACGACCAGCCATTGTGGCATATGCCTGACGGATATAGATTCCAAAAACAATCCTGAAATTGTCAGTCTCATCCTCAACCCTTATTGTGTGGTCTGGTGTATAGTGGGGATTCATGTTCATTCCATGGCATTCTGTCCTTATCAAATCTTCAATTTTCAGTACGTTTTACAAATCTCTGTTATGATGATTTTGACTGTCTAGATCCTCACCTAACAAACGTTCAATCTAATAAATACTGTCGTGGAATTGAAAACGGGTGTTTTCCTCTCAATACTACGTTTTTTTAACTGAAAACACAAAGGATCCTCTTTGTTTCAGAGCTAACTCTGTGTAATGTCTTCTTGTGATACTGTTAACCATCTGTGTGATGGCTGACAAATCAAACCCAGCAGTGATGGCAGTGAAGTTGAACTATTAGTCAGTACTTTTTATTGTCAAGTATCCAAATATGAATAAATCTGTGTGAATGTGCCAGCAAATAAAGACATTTGTTTCATTTAATTCATGACACATTACACTGAGGAACTCTTCCTTACTTCATCCTTGTCCTTGGGCCTTAGATTGTACTGCTTCTGATTTGGTTTTGCTGCAACTACCATACTTCTGTTCAGTCACATATGCTGCTACATGGAAGGCTTGATGGACCTGTGAATGGTCTTGTCTGATGCAGACTACGGAGTACGTGCGTTTTGGAGTCTGGAAGGGTGTCTGCCGCTCTACATCTCGGAATATCTACTTCTGTGTCTACTGTGACTACAAGACACCCCGTCGAGACAATGCTCTCTATCAACACTCCCGAGTCCATTCTTTTCATGAACCCTTCACTTGCCATATCTGCCACTCCACCTTCAAGTGGAAGCGAAGTCTTGCAACACATCTGATATCTGCTCATGGAATGTAATTTCTCAGGTGAGATTCCTTTGATAAATTATTATGAAGTTTCATCTCTTTGATATTCAAACTCCAAATACATCTCTTCATTTGCAGGGCCATGGTTTGGCTTGTACATTGACAGGGTATATGAATTTCTTGAATGCATTTTCAGGAAATTTGTGAGGTGGGAAATAGGTTGGACAATAGCTATGTTGTTCAATATACTTTTTCTTGACTTGCAAATACAAGACAGAAGTGACAGTGCAATCAAGGTAGCACCTGACTGAGGTCCATTCCTCCAACAAACCTTTCAGCTTCTGACTGTGTCCAAGTGCCTGCCAGTTGTGAATACATTTCTTGTATTTATTCATCTGTATCTTTTATGCTTTGTCTGTGTGACATCTTGGATCTGTCTATGGATCATCAGTGCTAATAGCTCTATTAAAGTTCCATTTCAAAATCTGAGTCAATTATGGACTTTTCTTTGCTGATTGTTTTATGAAGACTAATGCATTTTTGACTGGATGAACAGTTCACATAGCCTCATCACAGTATCATAAGGAATGGGGGTGGGGAAGGAAAAATATTGTTTTCACTGTTGACATCACCATCTGCTCATCTAAAATGCCCTTTCTGATTATTTGATCTGCACTTTGGATTCAGAGGATCAACTCATTATCCAGTATGAGAACTTGAGGAAGGAATTCCCATTAATCTGCACGGGGGAGAGAAAGTTAAATACCACCTGTTAAATACCACCATCTACCCATTCCTCTAATGATGAAATGACCTAGATACACAGCCTGAAATATACAGAGTGTTGCAAAATAGCTGCCCCCCTCCTGGAGCCTATGATGTATAACATGGAATGACTTTATGATTGTAAGAAAGGGCAACATGTAATATTTTCTGTATATTTTCAACTTGATTTAAAAAATAGCTGGAGTCCCAAGTGACAGTTAGCCATTATGTCTCAAACATGGAATGTGTCTCAGAAAATTGCTGAGACGAGGATGCAACATTTAGCATTAAAAAATGGATTGCAAAAAAATTTAACAGAGGTGAAAGTTCAGTGAAGTGGAACTGAAACAGGATCTTAAGTGATGTTGATTCTTGGTTTTAAGGTTTTAGACCCTTTGTATCTCTCAAAATAGCATGAAGCTATCAGGACAGAAAGTCCGACCTCCAGAAGAAATGGGGAAAAGGACTTCTTTGGATACTAAGAATGGCTGGGGAATTCATCTGATCACAATGTTTGAGAGCATGTGGGCTCAATTGTGAAGGATCAATTTGAAGAATTGATGCATGAAGAAAGAAATAATCAATTTTCAATAGAGATTATGAGAGGAAAATTGTGATGGTGTTTCACACCTTGAAATATGATATTGATTATTCTGAAATTTGTTGAAATTTTTGCCTGAAAGAATCGACCATTTTTTACACATATATTGGTAACACAATCAAAGTTCAAATTTTGTGCATGATATTGTGTGATGATAAGAAATCATGGGCAATTTTGTTTTTGGTCAAACTCAGCTGGTTTTGTCTGGAGGTAGGAGGGCAGGTCAATGCACCACCCTTTGCACCAATATGAGATATACTATTTTTCAAATGCTTTTTTCCCTACACTTTCAAATATATTCAAAATATCTCGTGGCAAATGAGTCTGAGAAGGAGTGTTTTTTTTATTAATAGTTTTTGAAGCTTATAAATACATGCATTCATGCTGAATTCATGCATTAGGCCAAATGTGTTGTTGAATCCAATAAAATCCATATTTCTTATGAAATTGTGGTTGACTATTCTTGCCATCTGTATTGAGACCCATTTTATAAATAGTTATGCTTAGATTTCCTTTTTTAACGAGGTAGATGAGTCCAATAAGACAAGGACAGGTTTTGTGCACATGTATGATACAAGAAAGTCATTGCAAAATGAGTTTCAGACAGATTAGTTGACCAAAGACTCATAGACTTGTTCAAAATACAGGATGAGCCAAAAAAATCAAGCATGGCATTTCAGTAAATTTATATTCGACATAAGAGAGAGGTAGAATGCATAGAGTAGTGCTGGATTTGAACACTTGAATAGTCCAATTCTTTTGACATTAAGTACTTAAAAATTATGCACTGGCTGACCTTTAACATGTTGAATAAGGGTTGACAAATTTCATTGCAACTGATCAGTAGTCCATCCAAAAGTTGTTTCAGATGGAATCTCACTCTTGGATGGTTTCTGCTCACTGATTTTGGATGCTAATCTTCCTACAAACATATTCCTGAAGCGCTCCCAAAACTTCTTAACCCTTTCATGGCCCAGTATTTTAATTGGTGCTATTCTGTCCAGTTTTTTTCACTTTACTCGTTTCTATGCTGTTGATAAATTTTCAGTATTTTGAAGGGGTTTCATAGCTTTATTATAGGTCATAATAAATTAGGAATGTTGTCATGTTATTCCAAATCTGCTGACTCATTATTTGGTGTTTGCAAGACAATACCAGAAATTGATAAATTTTCAGTACTTTGAAGGGGTTTCATAGCTTTATTATAGGTCATAATAAATTAGGAATGTTGTCATGTTATTCCAAATCTGCTGACTCATTATTTGGTGTTTGCAAGACAATACCAGAACTTGATGAATCAAAATGATGAAGCTGGGGATGAAAAGGACCAGAAACCCATTTCATTTTGGTACTTGGTCTGTTGTGACTCCACTTGCCTCTCAGTTGAAGTTCCATTTCAGGGCTACTGTCTTCAGTGTCTTCTTCTGTGGATATAATCACAATAATCACTCAACTCAGAGTCCTCTGATTCCAAATTTTTCATCTTTCATTGATGCACTTGACCCAGAAGAGCTCACTTCATCAGTAAACTCTAGTCACCTGTCAACATGGTAGCATCAGCTGATTGCTGGACTTCGTAAGAGCTCATCATATTTGCCAAATCTCTAATCGCAAACTTTGTATATTTGCTTCAGAAAGCCTCCAGGACAAGCCAATAAATGGCAGAAGAGGCTCACCCTAGATTCATGCTCTCCTGAAAAATCAGAGAGTGCCTGTAAACATTGAAAACTTGAAAGCTGAAATTTCAGCAAATATCCATCTGAGACTTTCTGCACCAGAACTGAATATTCAACACTTGACTACAAAAGGATTATTCGGTTTCTATTGAATAAAATGTTTCAGCCATCAACCAGAACATGTTTCTGCATGTTTTTCCCTCATCCTGTTGGTGCCTACGTACCTCATCCTTGAATGGTGATGTGCTCTCTGAAGTTATCTGTCCTGTTTTTTTTTTCCGATGTTCATTCTGTAAGGCTCATTGGAATGAATAAATTTAACAGCATGAGATGCAGTTTCACTATTGAAGCTCCAAAAGCATTTAGTTTTGCAGTTGTTCTCAAAATGGTTAATAGTGACTGCTGTGAAGGCAAAATTATGGTTTTCACAACTCCTTGCATTATCCAGAGAGAAAAAGGTTAGAGTGCCTGGAGACCATGAGGGCTACAGCTGTACTTCTGTAGTGCATCTCCTCACTAAATTAGCCCCAGCAACCCTAAAAAATGGGATTGAAAGATGTTTTCAGTACCACATTTGCCACATGAAACAGGAATGACGCTAGACTTGTGGAACTCGCTCAACAGGCTCTGATGAAAGATTGTAACACCTATCTTGACAGCCTGTTCTGTTTCCATCATTCATTGAAATCGTCTGAAATTCATTAATCTTAAATGCTTTGTTGCTTGGAGAAAATTTTTCAGGAAATACAACTTCCCCAAGAGAAGTAAGTCACCCTTGAGACATCTGTGGGACATCAGGATGTCAAAGGGTCATCTGTGGGATATTTCTAGAGGTCTGTTGCTACTTTAATTCGATCTGTTCTGTCAGTATTGTGTAAGCATTATGATAAAGTTGGTTGAAATGATTGGAGTCATTCATTGCAATTATTGCAATTACAGAAAGATGCTGTGATGCATACAACTGCCAATTCCACTTTCCTTTAGTTTTGACAGGAAATATTATTAGTAGAAAAACTAATTGGGTGCTGCATAGCTTCCACTTCAGGAAGGCTCCACATGTTTGAACCCACTCACCCCAATGCACCTTGAGGAAGGCATGCCAGGCAGACTTGTGCAACAACAGTGCTTTCGTAAAAGATATTTTCCTTGTTGCTGAACTGTTCAGTGTTTCTTGGAGCTGAAGTTCCACTGACTTGGCTCATAATTTTTGTTTTTCTGTCTGATCTATGGTTCAGGAGTTACATATTTTTAAATCTGATGTTTCTTTTGGTTTTCATGCACTTTTCACCTTGCTCTTCATGAATTGTTTTGTTGAAATTTTGTAGAAGTGAAAAAAATTTTGCATTTTGCTTGATCAGGGATTGCCATCAATTTACATCACCAAACTTTTATGGGGTCATTTGCTTGTTCAAGTTATATTTACCCTTGCTTGCGTTGCTTGTTATGTGATTTTGTTGGTATACTGAACACATGGCTTGCATTGCATTTTGAGTTTCCAGTTCAAATTTTGTGATGCTGACAATATTCTATGGTACTTTTATGAACTTGAGGATGATTCAGATGTCAAAATTGATAAGAGTGATGATTAGGATGATTTGGAGACCACTGAATGTGGAGACTGGCCTGTGGCTTTAGAAGTTGTGTCTCGGCCCACTACTGAAAGGTGCAAGGTTTCAGAAAACCTGAAAAAAGTCAGGGGCGAAGGATTTAATATATCTTCAAATACCGCATTTTGCAATAGCTTTCTTATTGTGATTGCCAGAAGAGTTTCTCTATTGAGCAACCTTGATATGCACATGAATTCTTCATGCCAGACTGATGGTGCCCCATCTCTTCAGTATAGTTGTGCATTTCTGAGTTTTACTCTTCTCCATACATTCACTAATGTATTCAAGGGGATAGAGGGGGTTGAGAGTTTGAAAACCTCTGCTGTAAGATATGTGGATATCATGAAATCAACTCATCCCAACCCTCTCATCCCTACCCAACTAGCAATGCTAACCTTATTGTACCTTTTTGTAACCTTGTCAGGAACGCACCCCTATGCTNTTGATAAATTTTCAGTATTTTGAAGGGGTTTCATAGCTTTATTATAGGTCATAATAAATTAGGAATGTTGTCATGTTATTCCAAATCTGCTGACTCATTATTTGGTGTTTGCAAGACAATACCAGAATCAAAATGATTGATGAATCAAAATGATGAAGCTGGGGATGAAAAGGACCAGAAACCCATTTCATTTTGGTACTTGGTCTGTTGTGACTCCACTTGCCTCTCAGTTGAAGTTCCATTTCAGGGCTGCTGTCTTCAGAGTCTTCTTCTGTGGATATACAATAATCACTCAACTCAGAGTCCTCTGATTCCAAATTTATAATCAGTTCATGAAATTTTTCATCTTTCATTGATGCACTTGACCCAGAAGAGCTCACTTCATCAGTAAACTCTAGTCACCTGTCAACATGGTAGCATCAGCTGATTGCTGGACTTTGTAAGAGCTCATCATATTTGCCAAATCTCTAATCGCAAACTTTGTATATTTGCTTCAAAAAGCCTCCAGGACAAGCCAATAAATGGCAGAAGAGGCTCACCCTAGATTCATGCTCTCCTGAAAAATCAGAGAATGCCTGTAAACATTGAAAACTTGAAAGCTGAAATTTCAGCAAATATCCATCGGAGACTTTCCGCACCAGAACTGAATATTCAACACTTGACTACAAAAGGATTATTCGATTTCTTTTAAATAAAATGTTTCAGCCATTAACCAGAACATGTTTCTGCATGTTTTTCCCTCATCCTGTTGGTGCCTACGTACCTCATCCTTGAATGGTGATGTGCTCTCTGAAGTTGTCTGTCCTGTTTTTTTTTTCCAATGTTCATTTTGTAAGGCTCATTGGAATGAATAAATTTAACAGCATGAGATGCAGTTTCACTATTGAAGCTCCAAAAGCATTTAGTTTTGCAGTTGTTCTCAAAATGGTGAATAGTGACTGCTGTGAAGGCAAAATTATGGTTTTCACAATTCCTTGCATTATCCAGAGAGAAAAAGGTTAGAGTGCCTGAAGACCATGAGGGCTACAGCTGTACTTCTGTAGTGCATCTCCTCACTAAATTAGCCCCAGCAACCCTAAAAAATGGGATTGAAAGATGTTTCCAGTACCACATTTGCCACATGAAACAGGAATGACTCTAGACTTATGGAACTCACTCAACAGGCTCTGATGAAAGATTGTAACACCTATCTTGACAGCCTCTTCTGTTTCCATCATTCATTGAAATCGTCTGAAATTCATTAATCAATTCATTAATAAATGCTTTGTTGCTTGGAGAAAATTTTTCAGGAAATACAACTTCCCCAAGAGAAGTAAGTCACCCTTGAGACATCTGTGGGACATCAGGATGTCAAAGGGTCATCTGTGGGATATTTCTAGAGGTCTGTTGCTACTTAAATTCGATCTGTTCTGTCAGTATTGTGTAAGCACTATGATAATGTTGGTTGAAATTATTGGAGTCATTCATTGCAATTCTTGAGAAAGATGCTGTGATGCATACAACTGCCAATTCCACTTTCCTTAAGTTTTGACAGGAAATATTATTAGTAGAAAAACAAATTGGGTGCTGCATAACTTTCACTTCAGGAAGGCTCCACATGTTTGAACCCACTCACCCCAATGCACCTTGAGGAAGGCATGCCAGGCAGACTTGTGCAACAACAGTGCTTTTGTAAAAGCTATTTTCCTTGTTGCTGAGCTGTTCAGTGTTTTTTGGAGCTGAAGCTCCACTGACTTGGCTCATAATTTTTGTTTTTCTGTCTGATCCATGGTTCAGGAGTTACATATTCTTAAATCTGATGTTCCTTTTGGTTTTCATGCACTTTTCACCTTGCTCTTCATTAATTGTTTTGTTGAAATTTTGTAGAAGTGAAAAACATTTTGCATTTTGCTTGATCAGGGATTACCATCAATTTACATCACCGAGCTTTTATGGGGTCATTTGCTTGTTCAAGTTATATTTACCTTTGCTTGCGTTGCTTATGTGATTTTGTTGGTATACTGAACACATGGCTTGCATTGCATTTTGAGTTTCCAGTTCAAATTTTGTGATGCTGACAATATTCTATGGTACTTTTATGACCTTGAGGATGATTCAGATGTCAAAATTGATAAGAGTGATGATTAGGATGATTTGGAGACCACTGAATGTGGAGACTGGCCTGTGGCTTTAGAAGTTGTGTCTCAGCCCACTACTGAAGGGTGCAAGGTTTCAGAAAACCTGAAAAAAGTCAAGGGCGAAGGATTTAATATATCTTCAAATACCGCATTTTGCAATAGCTTTCTTATTGTGATTGCCAGAAGAGTTTCTCTATTGAGCAACCTTGATATGCACATGAATTCTTCATCCCAGACTGATGGTGCCCCATCTCTTCAGTATAGTTGTGCATTTCTGAGTTTTACTCTTCTCCATACATTCACTAATGTATTCAAGGGGATAGAGGGGGTTGAGAGTTTGAAAACCTCTGCTGTAAGATATGTGGATATCATGAAATCAACTCATCCCAACCCTCTCATCCCTACCCAACTAGCAATGCTAACCTTATTGTACCTTTTTGTAACCTTGTCAGGAACGCACCCCTATGCTTTCTTTCTTTGAACCTCACTACAGCTCTAACTCTCAATATCTGGCATGAAAAAATTTCACATACTCATTTGTATATGGAAAGTTCTTCAGTTACTCCATAAGATGTAGTTCAGACTTTTTTAATGCTGGCGTACAAGTTGTTTGTTTTGACTGTTACCAAATAGGCAACCATCAAATCATTTGTATCATTGGGTGAAATTGGATTAGTTATTGCATTGTACCAGAATTCAACAACTCAGTTGCTTGAAAAAGTCTAACCATCATGTCCTTCATTTGACTTGACTAGCTATGATTACTATCCCGATTGAGATATGAGATGCTGCTCTGAGATTGCAAACCCTTGTGTTGTATCACTGCAGGCAATATTCAAAGTTGAAGACTACATATGGAGTGGGAAGACCTCAGGAGGGATCCAGGTGTACTTCTGTGGTGTATGTTCTTACATGGCATTCAGCAAGAGTCATACGAGAATCCACAGACGAGTTCATACGCAGGAGAGGCCATATCAGTGCACAGTGTGCCACAAGCACTTTACCCAGAGCAGCACTCTGTATCGTCACTTGAGGTTGTCTCATCGGATCCATCAATGAAGCAAGAAATCCCAATGGGAATGTGTCCCATCTTCCCATCCCATTTTATTCCCTTCTATTCACTGAATCTGATTTGAAAAAGTTCTGTGCATGAAACTGACAAAGAATTCCAATGAATCTAGTAATAGGAGATGTATAAAAAGGCATTAGTTTATTGATTTAATTCGATTGAAATTTTCCCATCAAATTTGGATTAATTACAATGAATGTTAAAGATTCCTATAAAAGATTCTAATCAGAACGTTCTTTGGGGTCTTCTCGCAAGATAACTTTGAGCATTGCAGTCACAAGCACTATCACATGGTAGAAGTATTGTGTTGATTCTCCTAACTTCCTTTGCTGCCATGGGAGTCAAAATGCCAAGCATCCTCTGAGCTCAATTTTTCCTTTTCTTCCTGATTCAACAATGAAAGTTTCCACCTAGTTGAAGTCATTCTGGCTGAAAGGGAATGGGCTGTCTTAGCCCCATGGCCACAAGGGAAATGATCTATTTATGTTTGAATCATCACTTTAAAAATGTTTGGAAGTTAGTGTAGATTAAATTTGTTTCTTAAATCCACACTGAGTAATGAATTCTTCTTAAATGTGTTTTAGCCTTGACTATGACTGGCCGACAAAAGCAGGTAGTGATTGGTATTAAAGTTGGTAAAAAAGTTGAACCCTTCTTGTTTTCTTTTTGTGTTCCAAAAGCTATAAATAAATTTGATTGAAATGGTAGCACAATGTGTACTCATTTCATTTTTTGACACCTGATGCTTGGCCCTTGCCCATTGAATTAGAGCGTGATGTCCTCGTCCAACTCTGCCATCACTTCTGTGTGTCTGCTCCATCACATGATAATGTTTATGAGGGGACTTTGATGGACTTGTGAATAATGCAAACCGTGTAGTATATGTGATGGAAGGGAATCTCCCTCTCTACGTCGCAAACTTTTGTCCCATCTGCTGAGACACACCATTGAGACCATGCCTGCCATCAAAATTCCCCAGTCCATTCCTCTTGCAAGCTCTCCTCGTGCTAAATCCGCCACTTCACCTTCGAGTGGAAGTGAAGCCTTAGATCGCACCTTGCCACTCATAGGTTTTTCTATGTTGAGCTCCTTGAGTATTCCGTGAAGCACAGTTTGTTGAAGCAACATTCTGGGAAAGTTGATGGGCAATTTAATTTCAACGTGAAAGTGTCCAGAATACCAAAGTTGTATGCTGTGAAAATCCCATAAAATTGTAGCCAATCTAGTCTGTCCTATTAGTCCAATTATACTGCTTCTTTTTGGGGCTGTTTCTGTGGATAAGTTATTTTTAATGCAAATTCAGACCTTGTTTATTTCCCCTGCGCGTAATGCTCCATCTCAAAAAGATATGGAATTGGGTACAATTTTCATGAACGAGCCTTTCAGCATTGGACTTCAATTTTTGTATTAAATTACCTGCAGTTTTTGAGTTCACATGTGAACAAAGTTTTTCACTAGAGGAAAATCAGGATTGGAGAAACTAAAGACTCTACTTTTAAAATACCTGTTTTACTGAAATAAGATTTTTGTCTGCCTCCTGATTTTTTTTTCATTTTCTATTCACAACTCTCCTGGTACTGAAGGGGGGGCAACTCTTTGCTTACGGCTAAGAGAGTGGCTGTGTATGTTCAGGAGGGACTGAGAATAGCAAAAGCAAAGCAGCACCATTTTACATCCTTGCCGATTCAGTGCGTCCCGTGGAGGATCCTTAATCACTTTTTAAAGGGGAGTCCTCAAACCATATATTTTCTACTAACCCTAATTAGAGCGTTGTGGGAATAGAAACACGAAACACGTTCATAAAGATAGAAATGAAAGGATGAAGAGGGAGGGGCGAGGCTCGTGCCATTAGTTCCAGTCTGCCTACCAGTGGCGTAGCGAGGGGGGTTTCAGCCCCCCCCCCCGTTTGGTTCTAGCCCCCCAACTTCGGTCAAAATACTCGTGCATCCACCACCCCCTCCCGACAACATCCTGGCTACGCCACTGTTGCCGACCACTTCTGTCTCGCAAGTCATTCGTGATGGAGTGCCGACCCAGCAAACTAGGCTACATTGGACCAACGTTGTATCAATATCAACGTTCCTAGCGTTTAATCAATGTTGATTCAACATTGATTCGACATCATGTGTTTCAAATCGTTTGCTGGGGAGCGCTAACGGGAAGAACTGTCATCCACCCCAAGACTCGTCGAAACTCACACAGCACAGGTATATCCCAAACAGGGCCGGCCATAGGCATGTGCTGCAAGTGCGCCCGCACAGGGCGCAAATTCACCTGGGGCGCCAAAACGTGACCTCGCATGCAACGCTTGAGACATGTTATTAAGAATACGGATAGGTGAGTTTCCATAGCCCGCAGAGGGGTTAAAGTCGAGATAGAGAGACCTCCAAAGGTGTCTTTATTTTTTCTTTATTTTGAGCCGGGATAAAGTCGAAATATAGCCGAAATAAAGTTAAAGAAAAGTTAAAGAAGTTTCGTGAAAAAGGCCCCAGGTGTGCTATGCTGAACCCAGAACATGCAGTCGCTGTCGTTAGTGCGATTGGATTCGTTACATGACATGGGCTCTATCGGAAATCCTCGGGGTCCTGCAGTAAATGACAATATGCTATTAGCATAGCTAATCCTAAAAGTATTAGAGAGATGGCGTTAGTATACATGCATATCCTCAGGAACACTAGCGCCATCTCTTACATTTTTTAATCGAACTATATATTATGAAGGAGGAAAAGACCGATAGGTGGGTAGTGGCAGATACTGAAGTTATCCATGAGTTCCCTATTTCCATTTTCCAACCCCACCTACCACCACCCTTCGTCCTATTGCTTTTTGTTTCATTTTTAATCCGCGGTAGAACCTAGACACCCTTTTCACAGACTCCAATGAAAATTTGTACTTTTTAAAAGGAATAAGTAGAATGCGAACATGGCCATTGGAGTGGGCAATCCCCCCGCCCCCACTCCCTGGATTTGGGGAGACTGCTTAATCCCCTCACAGTTTCCACCGTTTCCATACTTCTACATGTTCCTCTTGTCGCTAGAGAAGTGTGGAAAATATAGGTCTGGTGTGTTTTTTTTTTCTTTGTGAAAAGGGAATTTCGTAATATTATTTTCTCCGGCTCTTCCCTGGGAAATAGGATCGTATAATAATTCAAATGGTGCTCAATACCTGAGGATGAATAGGTGATAAAATATTGTTCACGGGGAGAGGTGAGAGTAATTCCAGCCGCGTACTGTCGTGACGATTTTATTAAGGAACATTTCAGAGGGTGGGAAAGCGGAGTGAGAGGTTGTTTCGTCGCGTTAATTGGGAGGGAAAGGGAACACGTGAGACATGGTGAAAGCTCCGCGAGGGTCTCACGTGTTCGTCGAGACGTCACGTCCGTGCGTGTCAACTCCATTTCCATGCAACAACTTCTCACGGGTCGCACTCGTTGAAACGAGAAGTTTGGTGAATTCGTTTGTGGTATTTGCAGGAACTGGCATGACGTGGAGTACGAGAGACAGACGGATCTTCTGTTCCCGTTCGGCGACCCCGAAATGCGCTTGCCCCGTCGACGGTCGCTTACTATAACATAGGCCTTACTTGCAATTCTTCATCCTTGGTATCCGTAGGTCTAGGCCTGACATGGCTGGGGAGGGTTTGGCTCAAATTGCTTCTAATGTCAGGAGCTACGGATAAGTGGATACTGTACTTAATCCATGCTTGGCCGATGGCAACTCCAATGTGTTACGGTGTGAATGTCACCAGTGAACCCGGTGTTTACATGATATGGTGCCATCATATCCCAAATAGCATCTTATGTTTTGCCTTTCTGGACGAAATTGGCAGAGTTTGTTAGGCCTAGGTAAAAGTCTAGGCTATGATAGGGCTTAGGCCTCAGACCATGAATGGGGTCAGGTCCTCTTATTTTCTCAAGGTTAGGCCAGAGAGGCTTTAGTCAAAACTTTCCTATACACAGAGGTAACAGTAATTTAATTTCTGCAGCTTCATTTTGCAGAAGACAGAGACAGAAACCATGTCAAACAAGTACAATTTGAAGTGGAACTCCCATCATGTGGAAACTTTTCAGAGCTTTGAAAATCTCCGCCATAGGGAGATGTTTGTGGATGTGACCCTGTCATGCAATGGGCAGTTTTTGAAAGCCCACAAACTGGTATTGTGTGCAGGAAGTGGATATTTTGAGCGAGTCCTCAACAAGGATGGATCAGGGACACCTACTGTGCACTTCTATGGTATAGAAATGCATTTGCTTAAGCTTCTGGTGGAATTCATGTACTGTGGAGAAGTTGAAGTCCCAGCTGTAGATCTTGAGAAATTCATTGAAGTTGCTGAAAACTTGGAAGTGAAGGGACTAAAAGGAGATAAGTCTAAGAGTAGTGGATCACATGGTATCAGTGGAACCACCATCCCTGTGTCTGATGTTCATGATGCTTTGGCTCACAAGAGGAAGAGTGCTGTCCAGGCATGGTCAGGACTTGGTGATTCACAGCCTTCTCCTGCCAAAATACGTAGGCCTTATGCTTCTCTGCCACAACTTAGGCCCCAATTTACAGGACCAAATTCTCAGCAAAAGGAGACTTCACTGGTATGTCCACAGACCCAATTGTAAGGGGAACCTCCTCTGCAAAAGGATATCACTTCGTGTGTTATTGTCTTCTTTGACCTTTTGCAGGTGCCATCAAAATCGCAAGTCCAACAGACTCAGCCTGAATCGAGTATGAGCTCATCAATCGAGGAAGTGTTGGTGAAGGATGAGGGAGAAGAAGATATAAATGATGACCTTGATGTGATGGATCCAGCTTCAGTAGCTGCTGTTAGTCTCAGAATCATTTGAAGTTGTTGCTTCTTGTCAAATAATTTTCAAATTTCCAAAAATGTATTTTTGCTTTATATAGGATGATGGTCATTGGGATGAGCAATCCCAAGGAGAGGAAATGGAAGGAAATTTTGGGGAGGGAATTGAAATGGAGCCTGACATGCCGAAGCATATACCTCCAGAAGTTGATCCTCAGGTTCGTGTATCTGTCCCTTTTAAAAATTTTTTTGAGGGGACTTACAAACCTTCCCATAATCTGGATCAGGGCTGTCAGTACATCATGGAGAAAGCACTGCTCATATGAGTTTTGACATGATTGGAATGACCACTGGTTTGCTGATACTTTCATTCTTCTTTTCATGTTTAAAGAATATATATGAAGTGACTTGCACCTTAGTTCTTTATATAGGCCTAAGTTCACTGATAATTTTCAGCCATTAGCTGGGTTGCAGGTTGGTTTTTCTGTTTAAAAGCTATTCTCTAAAATATAAGCAGTATGGTTTACTTGATTACTGGGTTTCTCAAAGTAATCTAAAGAAAAAATTGAAGAATAGAAGTTCTGCAGGTGAATTGGATGAGTTGGATACATGGATTTCTATATAGCTCACAAAACAATCTCTTTTTTTCCTTAATATGATTACTTCTCTCACTCCTATAGTGAGAGAAGCACTCATGTATACACTTTTGATCTGATGTAACTGTACATCCAGTTCTAACTACCATCGAACAACTGTGAACATAGTAGTATCTCCTCTAAATTGTATCTGATATTGAAATAATTTAATAAAATAAAATAGAGAACTTATACTTCAGTTTCCAAAAAAGAGCAAGTCTATCATTTTGTGTTCCTAAGTTATCAATTTTTTGGTGGACCTAAAAATAACTACAATCACCAACCCTCCAGAGCGAAAGTGTTCAGGAAAAAAAAAATTGGATGAAAATTCAGATTTAAATTCCTGACAATCAATATATAAATGGATAAGGAAGATATCCTGAAAGCATTAGAGAAATGTTGGGAAATGGCTGGATGCCACCATGTGTTTTCTTCAGTCCAGGGAGTTGGCAAAAAATTCAACTAAATATGGCTCTTTCAATGTATGAATCCATGTGGTGAAACTTTAATTACAGTTTATATTGGATTTTATTGAAACCCAAATTTGGTGGAACAAAAATGACCCAATCCCATTCTTTGCAAGATGGTGAAAAATCCCTTATTTATGAGACAAATAAACAATTTACATTTGCCTGTACTGGAGCAAAGATTGAGATGAAGCAAAGAAAGAGAGGGATGAGAAATGAAGTGAATCTGATTAAAGGCTAAAGGCTTTGTTGAATATTTACAGTATGGGTCAAAAGTATTGCAACACAAGCGGATTACGCTCATGGTTTGTTGCCCTTAATTTGTGTTTCCTACAGTCATTTAAATAACTTAGGAATACTCCGACAAACCAGTTAGCATGGTGTAGCCTATGCAAGTAGCGTGCATCCACTGCGTAGCTTATGTACGAAGCAGCTTTTGTTTGGTATCAACATCTAACAATATGAAGGTCTGCGAGCTGCCGTTGGAGGTCCGGGCTAAAGCCGTTGGAATGGTTGAGGCAGGAAAGTCCCAGAGGGAGGTAGCTAGGATTCTTGGAGTTCACCCAGCAAGTGTGAATCGTTGGTGGAAACGCCACAAGGCTGGAGAAAGCCTCCAATCAAAGGCTCGCTCAGGGCATCCAAAAGTCCTTTCAACCTCTGCAAAAATGATTATTTGCAAGAGTCTGGGTAAGAGAGGGATGTCCAGCCGGAAACTGGCCTCCAGGTTGAAGAATTTGGGCAAGGAAGGGTCCTTCAGTACAGTTCAACGCTATCTTAAAAATGGTCTTGGTTCCAAGGCCTACAAGAGGCCCAAGAAACCCCTCCTCACGGACATCATGAAGGAGAAGCGCCTGAAATTTGCCCTGGAACACAAGGACTGGACTTCTGAAGACTGGACACGTGTGGTTTGGTCAGATGAGTCAGTGTTTCAGCTTTTCCCACCATCCAACCCACAGTGTGACAGGATCTGGAGCAGAAACAGTGCCTCTGTCCCTTCCGTCTTCACAGTCAAGCACCCACTGAAGATCATGGTGTGGGGAATGTTCTCTCATCAGGCGGTCTCAGAGCTCCACGTGATCCCGCCAAAACAGTCCGTCAACACAACTTATTATCTGGAGAACATCCTCCAAAAGTCCTGCCTTGATGCCCTTAACAGGACGGCAAGGGGAGGATCGATTTTGGAGCGTCGCATGGTTGAGAAAAGGTCAGAGGCCATCTTCATGCATGACAATGCCCCTTGTCATGCCTCCAAAGCCACCACTTCCTGGTGTCAAAAAAACCTGCCAGCATTCTGGGGTAAGGACAAGTGGCCAGGCAACAGCCCTGACATAAATCCCATAGAAAATCTCTGGCAGATTCTCAAGGAGGAGGTCAAGAAGATGAAGCATGCCACAAGCCGTGAGCAGCTTATTCAAGAAGTGAAAAATGCATGGGCCAACTTGGACCCAGGCATTCTCAAAAACCTAGCAAGCAGTATGCCTCAGCGAATGCAGATGGTAATCAATATGAAAGGAGATTACATTGGGAAATGAGACATGTTCATAGCACTCTTTGGAAGAGAATAATATTAATTTTTCCTTTGTTGCAATACTTTTGACCCATACTGTACATAATTTGCCCCATTAGTAGCTTGTTGGAAGTCAACATTGCTCCAAAAGTGGCCCAACAGTATCATGACACCTGGCATACTTCATGAATGGGGTCAGATGGTCAAACAAATAGGCAGGAGCTGCTGAGTGAAGGACTGAAAATGAATCACTATAGTGGTTGAGGTGGTGAAACTGCTTTTGGGTTTTTTCAGTTTTTCTTGAAGGAAAGGTCATATGCTTTATTTATTTCAATTTTCAATGACTTTCAGTGACTTATTTCAATGACTTTCAAAGCAAATTGATTTATTGTCACTGAGCATCCTATTTATATTTCATTGAGCATCCTATTTATATTTCACCACTTTTTGAAGAATGAAATGACAGAAAATTCTCTGGGGGCCTGATAACATGGTGGCATATTCTGTTGTCTTGACCATGTTATGAAAGAGCCTTTTGCTGAATTTTCTCTACTTAGCAGAAAAATTATGACATGGAAGGTAACCCTTTAAGTCAGGGGTTCTCAAACTGGGGGGGGGGGGGGGGGGCAACAGGTCATGGGAATTTTTTTTTATCTGCTACAACACACACTTTCAAAAACTATGGAATTCATCTATCTATTTTTTTTTTTTACTGGAAAAATGTCACATTCCTTCAGGTCTTTCTGGCTCTTTCTCCAGCAGTACAACACTAAATGCAAGCAGTTCAAGTGGGCAGACTTTCAAATTTGGTTCCTTTTTTCAAGGGGTGTACATTTCCATCTGCAATTTCCTATGATTCAAATGAAGAAGACAAATGAATTGTACTTCCCTTTGGGCTGTAACTTGAATGCTTGATGAATCCATGCACTCGTTCTGTCTAAATAAATTCTTGAAGGAACTTCATGATGCAGAAGAGCTGGATTCCCTGGACAGAGCAAAGTTTCAGAAGACATTTATCTTTCAGGTCTTGGAAAATGAGATTTCCACCGTTATTGTTATTGTCCAGTCCAGATTTGATCATTTGTGGGCCCAGAAGCTTATGAGCATTGTTCTCATTAAATTAAGTGAATGATTTCCCATTTTCTAGCAATGACCTGGTCCGTGAAACGTTGCAGTCCATTTCTTATTTTTTCAATTACTGCATGAAAAAAGCATCTGTGGGATAAGTTTAATTTCTAGGTATTCCTCTCAGAGAGAAAGGGGGCATGATGCCAAACTAGTGTCACTAGGGGGGGTGCAGCATTAAAAGTTTGAGAATTTGCACTGCTCTAAGTGGTAATCCTGTGACCTCAGGCAAAAATTGCAAGAGTTAATACATTACTGAAGCTTTCCCTCTTGTATGCCTATCGGATTGATTCATTAAAGTTAAATTTTTCACATGGTATGAAATACGTGTGCAATGGTTTCCCTGCAGTATATTTTTTAAGGATAAGTTAAAAAATCAGAAAAGGCTGAGACTTTTGCCTGCACTAGTGCACTACAGCCCATCCAGGCCCAGAAAGGACAACTTTTAATCCACAAAGGAGTCCAAGTAGCTTGTTTGTCATATTCAAGTCCTCAACCCCTTCCTTCCCTCTCCTCCAAATGTCATTCATACCCACAGCCTAAGGGTGGATTCAGTGGCGTCCTGCTACAAGCGGGGAGTGGGGCCGGCCACCCCGACCCGAGATACAGATCACTCAGCATGTGAATTCTCGTAGACTGTTTTACGCTAAGCTTCCAAGTCCGCCTTTGTTGCTCTTTTTATGACTGTTCTGTCCCCTGCTGCTTTGACAGGTTTTGACAGGTTATAAGAAATGTCACCCCATTATGGGTTCATGCCGACTGGTCCTTTCTGGGACTGGACAAGCTGTATGTAATCCTTGAAAAACTGTACTTGCCGTGGTCTCAGCTTTTTTTCCTAATTTACTTTATATCATGTGTGCAAGTGTAAGAGAAGTGAATTAACAAAAGATGTAATTTTACCATTTCCATTGAGGGAATGCATGATCATTTGTTTATGGTTTGGGTTAATTTTAATCCTGAAGATGAACAAAAAGGTAACCCGAAAAACTTAGAGGAATGTGGGCCCAACAATGTCTGCTGCCTGAAATCATTATTAAAATTATGACCCCCATCATCATTACCCACTACAACTGCAAGACTCTTTCACATCTCAGCTGAATATAAGATATGAAGGTAGAGTATTGCATGGTGTTTCTCTAGGTTAGAATTTGCAGGGGAAGTGTACACTGTTTTTCTTGAAACACAGGGTGGCGCAAAAGTTGCGCACCATAGGGTAAATTAAAGTAAATGTTCTAATCTTTTTAACATTAACTTGAAAACACTACAATTTGTTGTACACATAATGCTTGAACATATCTTAACTCCACCCTCTTGCATTTTGTTAATTTTTCTGCCATCAGTTACTTGCAAATGAAGAAACAAGAAATAATGTAGTGAAACGGTGAAATTCTCAACAGTGCATGACTTTTGTGCCACCCTGTGTACACATTTATAAGAGGCATTTAAAATCCATGCATGAAAGTGATATGCATGTCTGTCCTGATATACAGGGTGTCCCAAAAGTCACTGTACACTTGGTATGTACTGAATCAAGGGCCCTGTGACTTTTGGAACACCCTGTTCATTGTAAATGCCTCTTTTTATCTCAAAGCTTTTATAGTGTTTCCATACCAACAGAAAGTTTACATATGTTTTGTATCTCTGCATTTTTAGGCCTGTATGGCCTGCAAGGTTATTGCAAATAGGTTAGTGTTTAGTAGGCCTATTTTGTGAAATTTATTAGTTCCAAACTCAGAAGAAACTTGGTGTAATCTGAGTTCATCATGCAGAGGTGAGTCCAGCCACCTCTGCCTCTAATAGTATTTTCTGCAAGTATATATACATTATGCTCCATATGTGTATTATTACAAATCTGTCCATAGGTTAGGCACTAAACTTAAATTTGCCAAACTTCTGACAAGTTCATGAAGAAGGAAGTCAGTCTGTTCGAGGCACGAGGCTATTTATTTTATTTTGGTCTACTTTTTAAAATTTTGCTACTTGTACTCTTATGATCTGACTCCAGAACTATGTCATCTTTCATTTCCAATCCATTTCTCTCTTCTAGAATTTGGAGCATCTTCAAAACTATATTTGGTGTGGGAGAACTTCATCAGGCGTGAAAGTCTTCTTATGTGCCATCTGTCACTTTGTTGGTTACCGCAAGGATAATGCCCTTCAACACAGTTTCATACACATGAAACCATTCCAATGTGCATCATGTTCCAAGCGATTCTCCCAAAAAAGACATCTCCAGGCTCATTTGAAGAAATACCATTAATGTGAGTAACCCTCATTTCATATTGAATTCATTGATTGTCTAGATGTACTGTACTTCATAAAATATCCATGCCAAAATTAGAAGTAGACTCCTACCATATAGGAATGAAGCAAGGACCAAAGTTTTCTCTTGATTTGATATTTATTCTGATCCATGTCAATTCCAGGGTTTGTGAAGGGTGGCCAAGAATTCTTAGAGTTGAATAAATCTTTCTGTAGGTTTCTGCCTGTAAATATGAAATGCATTGCTCATATCAAGCTCCTCAGCAGTATAAAGAACTGAGGTAGATCCTATCTGAGTAATGCACAGATGCTTGGATAAAAATAGAGCATCCGTATTACTTGTATTGATAAGAACATCATCATTATCTGCTTTTTTAGGTTCTCCAGAGTTAGCAAGTGATTATGATATGATAAAACTATGATAAAAGCAGTCAGTTATGATGTAGAGAGAAAGTGTGAAAACTAGAGGCACTACAAAAGAGTCTCTACTTATAATACTCATATTTAACAGCATGCAGTGATGTTTTACCCTGATTAAAGTGTTTAGGTACACTTGGAGAGGACTCTGCTTAGAGATGCACTTTATACAGGGTGTTCGTAAATGATTTTTCCGATTTTTATGGTTTTTTACTCCGACTTTGTTTAAATAGCTGCTTTGAAATTATATGTAAGATGAACTCTGAAAGTTTGAATTTGATGCTAGATTGCAAGTTGTGCATTCCGCCTGCTGGGCAGAGCTACATTCGTCGGTACAGCAAAATGGTGTCCAGACCGGAGAAAGCGTTGTGTGTCTTGGCGTTTCATGAGACAAAATCTGTTGTTACAGTTGCTACAGTTTTGACGGAAGTATGGGAAGGCTCCTCCAAGCCAACCATCAATTCGTGCTTGGTACGAGCGTTTTGTTAGTGATGGCTGTTTGTGTAAATGCAAAAGCACCGGCAGACCATCCATGAGTGCTGAGCGCATTGAAACCATTCGGCAATCATTTCTACGCAGTCCCCAAAAATCTGTGTGGTGTGCCAGTCGGGAACTTAACATGCCGAAAACAAGTGTCTGGCAGGTTCTTCGCAAGTGCCTTCATTTGTGGCCATATCGATTACAGATGTTGCAAAAACTGAAACCTTCGGACAAAGTGACTATGCAGTTCAAGTTACTCGTGGCGCTCGCGTTGAACTTGATTAATGACTTTGTGTACGCCAATAAAAATTATTAAAGTTGTTCTTTTGGTTGATATGTGTTTCATAATTGTAGCCTTAAGTAACGCTGAATAATAAAATATTCAAGTCGGAAAAATCATTTACGGACACCCTGTATTATAAAAATATATCCTCATAAATCATCTGTATGCAAAGACTGTTGCACCTTATGCAGTCTTTGAGAAGTACCAAATTACTTGGGGTGCAGCTATAGCTCACTTGACAAACTATCTTCCGAATATTCATAGATGCAGAATAGATGGATGCAGCCATATTCCTGTCTTTCTCCAGCCTTGTCAGCCAACTTTGAAATGTGTTTGGCTTTGCATGTACATGCCATTGCAGTTTGTCATTGCAAATACAAGTAGGCTCACACAAAACAGCCTTGTCACAGTATCATATGTGATAACCAAGCTAGCATGAGAATGCATATCTTCCAGCAACTTTGAGGTAGAGTTTCTTGACCCATTCCACCTAGTCCTACAATTCAGGTGCATCGTTTTCTTTAACCTGTTGAGCATGTAATTTTCTGGGGAAGGTGGAATTCACAACCAGTAAATATTAATGAACTATAGCAATAGTTGCAGATCTAAAGTATTTTATGTA